CACAAAGATTCTCGTACTTAACGCCCCCGCAGCTGGTGTAGAGAGTCCAGCACTCATATAAATATTAGCCTATCCATTGAGTACATGTATTGTCTACATGGATACCAAGTTTCAAGTCAATCGGATACATGGTTCAGTAGTTATAACGGAACATCCGTAAATACCACTGTAGAGGTATATATTAGTATAGATTTCGATCATTGGATGAACACCGGTTTATTATAAACTACATAGTGTTTGAAGCGTGGGCCCTAATAATTTGAAAAAATTGTAATCTAAATGTACAAGAGTTTACAATCTCTTACTTCTCGTTAAAGGACTATTAATAATGTCACTTAAGCTTAAAACACTTACAAGGTCAGAACTTTTAGTGCATTAAAGTTTAATGATTAAATATTACGGTAAAAAGGTCACATCTTAGGTCAAATCGAGCGACACTCAAGCTTAATTTACGATTGCTCAGAGCACAACTTGTACCTATTGAAACTGTTAGATTTATTTGTACCTCCATCTTTATGTGTAAACGTTGATCGTAAATCGAGAGTTACTTAACCGATACAGTGTTTTAGTACCAAAAGCCTATTGAACTCGAAGAATCTTATTTGAATTTCAACGTAAATATTTCAAGAAACTTGTTCTGTGATATCGTTTTAGAAATTTCAATTGTTTTCGAAACTAGTGGCATTCAAATGTGTTAGAGCAGCAAGCCACTTAACGAATCACATGTCCGTTTTTTATTCAGTCCAATGGGATAATCATGTTGTTATTGAATGCCCGAATTTACTGACTCAGTCGACATAATGACATACGCTCGCGACGTGCTTATTTTGTGAATGAAACCTTATAAATACAAATAGTTATTCCTTTAAGAGATCAATTATATGTATCACATTAGCTTAATAAAGTATTTTAACTTATTATATAAACATGTATTTTAAAATAGTACCATATTTAATACGACAATGATGCCTTTGACGAGTTTTTTATGACGAGTGTCTAGCAACTAGTGTTGATTTTTCCATACAATTAAATCCCGGGGTACTTGCCACATACATACGAGCTGCAGTAGAAATAAATCTGCGCTGAATACAACCTAAGACGATATGAAGCTCACGAAACCTCTATAAAATAAAAAATAAAAAAATTAAATTCATTTAATTCAGACCCTCTTAAGTCCATATGTTGTAAGTAGAATAACACTTAGAAGCTGTAATTCATAATTAATTAATTTATTATAAAAAAAAGAACAATATTCCTAACCTAAAAGTACATGTTATTATCCACAACATGCTTCGTCAAAAAACCTCTATAAGTGTATTAACTGTAAGGTTAACACTGAACAAAGAAACGGGAAGCCAGATATTACAATATAAAAATCCATTTACGCACAAAACAACATTATTGGAAATTATTCTCAATGCCTAACAGCAATCAAGCCTGCCGAGTCAAATCGAGCCGCTTTGATTTATTATTATTTAAAATGAACGGGCGAATACGGAAGAAGGGACTTCCGCGAAACATCGTGAGAACTCAAGATATTGATTTATTACTATATTTACATAGTTAATGGGGTGATCGGCCAAGTAGGTAAACGACCTCTCAAGTATGAGCGTCACAAAGATAAGATATACTTTAAGTAGTTTAATTACTGTCTCTAATCGCTTGACTGCGTCGTGTCGTATGAGCCTAAATACTCGAGATTTTTCTCCCTAGTTCGTCCTAGTTCAAGTAATGTAGTTAAGGCAAGGCTGAGGACTTATGGAGAGCGGAGCGGAAATCCAAACCAGAAAACTAGTACGCTTTTTTTATTTTTTATTGCTTAAGTGGGTGGACACCTAGTATTAAGTGGTTACTGGAGCCCATAGACATCTACAAAGTAAATGCGCCACCCACCTTGAGATATAAGTTTTAAAGACTCAAGCATAGTTACAACGGCTCCCCCACCCCTCAAACCGAAACTGCTTCACGGCAGAAATAGGCAGGATGGTGGTACCCACCCGCGCGGACTCACAAGAGGTCCTACCACCAGTAATTACGCAAATTATAATTTTGCGGGTTTGATTTACGGGTTTGGTTTACCTTGAGCTGATTTTTTTACGATGTGAATATATTTTTTTCTCATAGAAAGTAAGTAGATATTCCAAATGATACATCAAGTAGGTAGGTTCTATAGCAGAATTAACTTTACTTTTAGTTTTAGCGAGTTTTAGTGATCACGAGCTCTCGACCCACTGGTTATTTAAGTATAAACCAAAGCTGTAGATACCACAAACTGAAATTACGACTTAATTATAGTATAACAACGGCTGTCACGTCCTTCATACCAAAATAAATTAATGCTTCGCAAGAGAAATAACACGGCAGATAGAGATGGGCTCAAAACGCGTCCTATGAACCAGAAATTACACAACTTTATAAATTTTCAGAGTTGTATTTTTTATTACGCAATGTTATTTATTCCTCCATCGTGGAAGTGTTCTGTGAACACGCCTTCTGTACGGGATCATAGAGATTTTTATATTTCTATAGCTTTAAGCTCATATTCAAAACGTTATTGTTATCTGATATATTCTGTCGTTTAAAGTTGTAGATAGTGGAAGTGTCGTACCTATCGCAATGTCACCGTTGTCGTGCATGCGGGCACGTTCAGAAACTTCTAATACATAATGGATAACGCAGACATTTTAACGCAAAAACCTTTAGGGTCGCCGCACACGGGGCACCCGACACAAACACAAAACGCCGCGCCCCCACCAACACATTTCCTGTAATTTTTACACATTTTTTATGTAGCGTGTGGCGGTCACCGGCGTTAACCGTGTGCGGCGAGTCCATATAAAATATATGAAAACAACAGGAAATAGCTCGGTGGCTGCGTTTTGTGGTTGTGGCTGGTGGCCCCTATGCGGCGACGCTTAGTTTCGTTGTTGTAGATAGACGAACACTCGACCCACTAGCTGCTAAGTGTAAACCGGAGTCTGTAGATATCACAACATAAAGTTACGTTTCAATTATATTGTAAAAATGACCGGTAAAACCCTTCAAAAAGGAATACATGACTCTTTCGCGGCAGAAAGATAAAAGATAGAAGTTCCTATCATTCCTATCCGTGCGGGCACACAAGACGTCTTGCCAACAGTTTGTATCGCTAAATATATTAAACAATATTTTTCTTTCATCGTCGACAAACTCACGTTTGAAAAGTTGAAAAGCGGCTATCGAACGAAACGCATTGACACTACAAAGTAAATTCTGCCACAGAGAACGGATTAAAGTTTTAACTACAATGGAATAATAAATTTCCTGTATAACCCAAAAAAGGGTTTTTTTATTGCTTAGATGAGTGGACGATCTCACAGCCCACCTGGTGTTAAGTGGTTACTGGAGCCCATAGACATCTACGACGTAAATGCGCCACCCACCTTGAGATATAAGTTCTAAGGTCTCAGTATAGTTACAACGGCTACCCCACCCTTCAAACCGAAGCGCATTACTGCTTCACGACAGAAATAGGCGGGGTGGTGGTACCTACCCGTGCGGACTCACAAGAGGTCCTACCACCAGTGATGAATATAAATGAATAAGAAAATGATCTAGCGTCGATTTAAAAAAATGTTTACAAATGCAAACAGTATATCACGGGATTAAAATTTTAAAATCCAATGAGATGTATTGCGAACGTGGCACCAAAACCGAAAAATATGGATTTGTGTCTGCGAATACTTTCACCGGGTTTACGAGGTTAACATGCTATCTCCGTCGTGCTATCTATCTGCATCAATAAGCACAGGCGTGACTCACTGATCGGCGATACTTCGAGACATACTAAAATAACTTCAATTAAAGCTAACTTGTAAACCGGCTTTACACCGTTAAGCACACATCAGCTTTGAGCTACTGTATTTGACCTACTAATTTGGAGTGCATAATACTAACGTCGCGGGTAACACGATTCACTAATAACTTATTTCGGCCGTACCGGACGGAAAAATAAAATTATTTTATTTCATTAAAATACGAATAGTTTTCGTATCTAAACCGCACTGAGTAGATAAGACTTTGTTTACTTTAGCCAATGGGAACTCAAGTCGATGTACACTTGACCAACGAGAATGTTTGCGTTTTGATATCTCCAGAGTGTACCTGCACTTCAAAGTTCAAAGTATTATTTAACATCGTAAATATTAACAAATGGCAGAGCCGCTAACGGTGCATCGGCGTCCCATAAACATTCACATCCAGCAAATTGAATTATACTCTAATTGGCTTTAATAGATTTATTCTTATGGCCGTCCCAATGGTTATTATTTATCAGAGACCATCATATTTCTATTCCGTTACCTCGTCGACTTCTAGAAATGTTCTTTGTGAAAGATATTTATTGTGGTGTGGGCGTCAAAGATTTACGCTTCATTTATTAAACGATACGATATTTTTAATGAAATAAATCCAGTCGGACCAGTTATGTAATTTCAATATAATTTAAAAAATGATACTGTGCCTTAACGATATAAGTTCGAATTATGTTAAATTAAAAAATATGTTTCCATTATAGTATAATAATAATAATCTGTAATCGAATTACTAATGCTTCAGTAACAATAGTGATTACGGATCCTTTCGATCCATTAACGGTGCTTTTAGGTACCTCAAGCACCGGTCACCGTCCTCGCCGAACCCGACGTAGGGCTCGACGAGTAAATTAACACATAGAAACAGCCCACAGTTTCTCGCTGGATCTTCTCAGTGGGCCGCGTTTCCGATCTGGTGGTAGATTCTGTGAAGCACTGCTCTTGCTAGGGCCAGTGTGAGCAACATTCCGGTTTGAGCCCCGTGAGCTCACTTACACGTCCAGTAGAAGCTGAAATAGCTTCTCAAGGCTATCAGCATAGGTAGAGGAAAAAAGTAAGAATGTTTATGATAAAATGAAATTCCAACAAAAAGGAGATTGATTAAATAGATACGTAGGTAACTAATTAATATTAGACTCATTGTTTCAGGTATCCAAAGCGGTCGCAGCGACTCTCTCTCGGATATGACCAATCGCGACGAAAGTTCCGCTCTAGCGAAAGAAGTTAAAGATAACAGCCGTTACAAAACACTTGAAGCAAATGCTATTATGTCGAAATTGCTTGTTGATGACAAAGACGGAGTTAGCAGGTAGATTTCTTATGTGGTTAATGACCCTGACTATTTACGTGGTTTTTCTGACACCAACACGGGAAGAAAATTTTGGGGCCGTTGTGTATGCAACCTTTAATATATATATTTCTAAATATCGATGTGTGTGCGATTATGTTTCCTATAACGACTGGACCGATTTCTGTGAAATTTATATATTAAGCTGGATCAAAGTCAAATCAAAAATCGGCCAGCAAATCGTGCCGTTCATTTTTTTTATTACTCATGACTGTATAAAATAGAACATTGTCTTGTTTATATTAAAAAAACCATGAGTTTTTATGGTCAAACAAAACAAAAAGCATACCTCTTAATTCTTATATTTGTTCTAAGTGGTTTACTCAAGAAATCGGTGTTTCCAAGGTTTCCCTTACAACACAAACGAAAGTTCAATACCAAACATTCAAGAACGTTTAAAATCAACCGTAAAATTTGGATACCAGTTTTAAAAAGTAAACTCGATAACGAGCTCCGTTCCCTTTTTTGTTTAAGTATGCTGAAAATATACAGCCTAAAATTACATTCACTAATGAAATCGGTCGATTTTATACCGTTATAATCACTTTACGTTGCAAGCTACGCAACGTTATTTAGGGAACAGATTGCTCATATTATTTATGAATGAATGATGAATTATATATCTCTCAACAACTCTGTGCTTATATTATAAAAATATATAAACTAAGGATTTTTTAATGTAACGTTGTCGTTAAAAAAATAATCACAACTACTAGATTTTGTATAGTTGCCTTTTTTTTATTATTTCATGAAATCACACTCTTAAAACTACATATTGATTGTTTTGATATTGCCTATTAGGAAATTTTTTTTTACTATTTAATAGTATTTAAATTATTAATTTACCACCGACAGGTCAGAAGTCTTTGATATGCTACATTCTCGTGATGATAGTCCTGATAACTTCGACTTGCCGACTTTCCCTGAAGACGTGGAAGACATGAAGAGCGAAGTTCCCGGTTTGCCTGATTCACAGGCTGAATTTTTACAGGGTAAGCATATATTTTTTTAAAGGTACCGATCCTATAAGAAAGTATTGAATTATTTGTCAGAGTTACTGGTAGTTTTTACTGGTGGTAGGACCTCTTGTGAGTCCGCACGGGTAGGTACCACAATTCTGCCTATTTCCGCCGTGAAGCAGTAATGCGCTTCAGTTTGAAGGGTCCCCACCCTGCCGTTGTAACTATACTTGAGACTTAGAACTTATTCTCAAGGTGGGTGGCGCATTTTCGTTGTGGATGTCTATGGGCTCCAGTAACCACTTAACACCAGGTGGGCTGTGAGCTCGTCCACCCAACTAAGTAATAAAAAAATTTAGCATGAATTGTAGTGGTTTAAAATTTTCCAATTGCCCATTCGAAAATGTTTGGATTATTTATAGGTAATTATGTACCTACCTAATTAATTTTGTGTGAATATAAATTCGGTTGAAATATAATTCGGAACACCATTTACAGTTGCTGACAGTGAGGTACGTAAAGATTCACAAAAGCTGCGAAGACCAGCGAAACGGGAAGAACCAGTTGGTCTTGCAGCTGGAATTATGGTTATTGTCACCTGTAGTATTGTATTCGTCGCCTATTCCGCATTAATTATCTGGAGAAGGATATATTTGTGAGTACAAATTATTTAGAGATTCTTTACGAGTATGAAGCATATTTTTTGTGGCTGACTTACTTTTAAGTACTTATGGGAGATGTATATCACTACACTTGTATTGTGATAGTCTCAATTTTATTGGAATAAATATCCTTTAACTGTTTAATCACGAACATACTTCACTATTGAATATTAGAAATAGATTAAAACAAAATAGGTATGTAACATCATCAAATATATTTGTAGCTAATTTTGTTTCAAATAACAAATAAATTTAAAGTATTCTTTTTTTTTTATTGCCCTTGTAGACAGACGAGCATATGGCTCACCTGATGGTGAGTGGTTACCGTCGCCCATGGACTTCAGCAATGCCTGGTGCAGAGCCAAGCCGCTGCCTACTATTACATATGAAAAAAATTGTAAAATAAATGAGTCGACTATTATCAAAGCCGGCAATCTGACTTTTGGACAATGATTGGTAAATCAGAAAAACGAATTATTGACTTTGTATTCCATTGGCAGTCACAAAACTCTTCGGAACGACATCTTAGATAAATAACAGGTTAACTATTAACCTTTATTTGATGCAGGTTTTGAACCTTATTCTTTGAAGGAGACGATTATATTCAAATCAATCTGTATTGACATATCAATAAATTTTTTTTGTCCAAATGCACAGATTGCCACCTTTGATAATAGACGACTCAAATAACTCAATAAAATCCATAATCTGTAAGAGAGGACAGAAGACATAATTAAGTCGATAATGCTGTTCAAAACAAATGGATTAAGTTAAGAATAGGTGCATTTGTATGACACACTCGAAAGCTTTAAATAATTGTGTCCCCTTTGTCGTAAATTAATATTCATTCGTAAGGCTTCCAGACAAACATGAGAAGCTATTGTATGAAGTAACATGATATTCGGGTTACACATTCACTGCGTAGGAAGCGGTCAAGTGCAACGGAAACTGCATACAAGTGCAGTAATGCACACACCCCGCTGAGAAATAATGTCTATAAGTATACAAATATACTTGACTGTTCAATTTGCTTGCTCGTTGCGCTTTCTAACTTTCACTTTATGCGGGACATATAATATTTGTAGGGACACTCCCAAATATTCATTGAAATCAGTTATACCTACACACAGAAAGATACTTTTTTACTGGTGGTAGAACCTCTTGTGAGTCCACGCGGGTGGGTACCACCACCCTGCCTATTTCCGCCGTAAGCAGTAATGCGTTTCGGTTTGAAGGGTGGGGCAGCCGTTGTAACTATACTTGAGACCTTAGAACTTATATCTCAAGGTGGGTGGCGCATTTATGTTGTGGATGTCTATGGGCTCCAGTAACCACTTTACACCAGGTGGGCTGAGAGCTCGTACACCCACCTCAGCAATAAATAAAAAAAAAGTTACAGAATAAAATAACGTAGGCGCATTCTCAGTATTATAATTTTCGTAATTCTAATAATAGATATACGTCTCCATTGTATTCGACTGAAGCGATATTCATTGCGACTAATGTACCTTCTTAAAACGTCAAATAAATAAAAGTAGGTATTTATTATGAAATTTTAGTGTATATATTTGTAAGCTTCATTCCGAATAAATGCAACGTTTTATTCTTCTACTGTCTTTTTCGTTTCTAATGTTTATTAATCTATCCTATTTAACTCTCAAAATTCCTAAGCTCTAGCGTTGGTGACAACGCGCAATAATGACAACAAAGCCCATCTCATTAGACCTAAAAAACGTAATACTGCTAAATTGATTTACAGAAAAAGAAACGGTCTCAAGCATGAACTTTTAAGAAACGAAGAGGTTGTTGCTGAAACAAGAATAGAGGTAAGATTTAATGCAGAACAAAAAGCGATCACAATACAATTTTCTACAATCCATAAAAATTCCTAAACAATCAGATTAAACACTAGAATTAAAGGAATTACCAATGCATTCATTGAACCCAAACTTGATGAGTTTAAAGGAATTATATTACTCGGATTTCAGAACCAAGGTTTTAATTTATCATGATAATATTATGATATTCTGATACTTATTTATATATTTTTTTGTTTATGGTAACGCGTGACTGTTTCAGATGTAATCAAAATTTTGGTTCACAATACCCATACCAACAATCCAAAGGAATAAATGCGATTTTGATTTTTATCTGATGTTCATTCTACCTTTATCGCATAACCGATTTTAACTTTGACATAGTCAACCACTCGATTTGAGTATCACGGTCGTTTTTATTTTTATTGCCTTTGTAGGCAGACGAGCATACGGCCCACCTGATGGTAAGTGATCACCGTCGCTCATGGACGTCAGCAATGCCAGGGGCAGAGCCAAGCCGCTGCCTAACATTAAGCCACATAGAAGCTCTTTCTTTTTGAATGAACAATTATTGACGACTATTATATTTTTTATTTCAGTTGTGAAGATCTCTAGACAGTCATCGTTAATGAGAAAAATAAATTCAAGATCGAGCCGAGAAAATAGGAAAACTTAAGACTGAATTCTTTAGGTCGTTAGAATTTTATTCGTAGCGATTTTATTTAGAAACAAATAGTTGCGTGGCTGTTCGTTAAGTAGTATTCTTTGGAATGATAGTAATTTTAAATGCAAAAATTATGTAAAATTATTCTATTTATTAAAAAATGATTTTGCTAGAGTCGCCTGTGAATGCTTAGCAGCTTTCAGTAACGTCTTCAATAATTCGGAAGCCTATTATTATTATTGTAAACATTTAAAGAAGTGAGATAACGCTATTTTGATATGCATCTTAAAAGTTTAAGCTTGGTCCCGTTGCATCAAATTAATTCAAAGCATTCGTTACATAGGTACTCACATATACTTGTGACGTATTTTAAAGGGAAATCTTTTTAAGACCGGGAAAAATTAATCACTACTATACTACTTGTCGCCTGTTTATCAGGAAATAAGTAAAACTTGATCAAACAAAAAACAATCCTTATTTTTTTTTTAATATTCGTTACTGTAAGGTAAATTACTATAATCAATATGTAAGTGCCATACCCAATATTACACTTCTCATAGGCTACTCTTTTATGTAAATACCACGACTACTATATTTTTGGAATGGCATCACGATTTATATAAGTTTAATTGAAGTCAATTTATGTCTGTGATGTAATAATTATCTCGTAAGGTTTTTTTTCCAAAATAATTTAAATAAAACATAAAGCGCATTTCTTTTATTTTAATTTACTTTAAACTATTTAATGCATATACTAATATCCGCCACGGATAAGTTAAAAAACACTAACAAAAGAACCCCACTAGGGTTGGCATCAGGCAGGGGACTGGTTGTAAAAGTCATGCCAAAACCCTACACAGCCTGATAAGAGGACATGCTCTGACCCAACGTCATGCGGCAAAAAGAAGGCTAAGAACTACTACAAGAACTAAAAAATCCACACTCGACCAACTACCCAACGGTGTTTCCCGAGGGCTATGACATGTCCTTCTTCAAACGAGACTTGTGGAGAGTACTAAACGGCAAGCAGCGGCGGCTTGGCCCTGCCCCTGGCATTGCTGACTTCCATGGGCGACGGTCCATCACGCCCACACGGACGGACCATCACGTGGGCTGCATACTCGTATACCTACGTTATTTCTCCCTGCAAACCACGGTTCACGTCACTGTTTCGCGGCAAAAATAAGCAGTATGGTATCCTGAACACAGATCAGAATCGTTTAAATACCATTTAAATAATATATCATTTTTATGATAACGATAAATAACAAAATTTTAAGAAATCATTTAATTTTAATAGACTTTCTTGCTTAAAATTAATTTTGCACATACATAGATTAAAAACACGGTGAAACGTATTGTTTTTCTGCTATAATGTGTTTAAGCTTTTATTTATTTAAAACGCCTATTTCGTATTAACTGAAATGGCAATGGGCTGGCCACATATCCCGATACAAAGACGGTAGGTGGACAGCCGAAACAACAGCGTGGGCAGGACCCAAAGGAAAAGCAGAGTAGATAGACCAAAGAGAGGATGGGTTGTTGACACAATATTGCAAATAATAGGCAGTACAAGTGGAAAAAACTGGAAGAAGCCTTCACCCATGGAGGGGCCCGTATCCCAAAAAACGTACTAAGTTAGATAAAAAAAAAAGATATGCAAACTACCAGCACCCCACTTCGACAAAGCGGCACGACACGAGAACCCTCTCATCGTGGCCGCCGGTAACTACATTCCCGATCCTGCGGACAGAATGGAAAGCAGTCGACGTCGCCCAAAACACGTCATCTCGGATCCTCCCGATCCACTACCGGTGCTTCTAAGTACTTCAAGCACCGGTCACCGTTCTCGTCGAACCCGTCGCTTGCGACGAAGGACTCGACGAGTAAATTAACCCTCAGACACAGCACACTGCGTTTCTCGCCGGATCTTCTCAGTGAGTCGCGTTTGCGATCCGGTGGTAGATTCTGCGAAGCACGGCTCTTGCTAGGGTTCGTGTTAGCATCGTCGTCAGGTTTGAGCCCCGTGAGCTCACCTACTAGTTACGGTTACGCTGGAATAGCCTCTCTAGGCTAACAGCTTAGGTGGAAAAAAAAAAAAAAACTACCAGCAAATAAGAACCACCTACTATGTTATTTGAGGGAAAAGGGATTTAAAGTATTAATTATTAATAAAATAAGAATTTTATTTATTTCTTATTATTAAGTACTTTTATAACCCTTATATAAAATATTGTGAGAGCTAATAATGAAATAAAAATTTGGTCAATAACAAGTCATTTATTTTATTGCGCTAAGAATATAACACTTCAAGTCAGTGAAAAAAGCGAAATTAAGTAAAAACGAAATATAAAAAACTTAATTTAAATTACCTGTGATTAATTCTTAAATTCTTGACATATTTTGTTGCATTATTCTTAATAAATATAAAACTATAGTGTTTGTAACACTAACAATAAGTAGGTACTAACGTGTAACAATTCATATTTGAAATATGACATCACACAATATAGAATCGTGTAGTTTTATAACTGATAAATAATACTGAAATTATATTGTACAGAGCGTTTCGCTTCAGGCACTTACGCAACAAACCACGATTAGAAATGCTTAATCTTAAATAAAACAATGCAATAATTCGTTTTTACATAATTTTTTTGAAAACTACACTTGCTATTTATTTGTTTGTATTTAGTTGGCTGGTTTGTGTCTGACAACGACTGGGCCGGTGTTGTCGCCAGTTTCTTTATTATGGGGACCGTGACTACCATCACAATAAGGCCACTGGAATTAAAAAAAAAAACATATGTAAATGTAAATGTAAGCATTGAACTTAAACTTAATTTATTATTATTGTAATATCACCATAATCTTAAATAGACGCTTGAAATTTGGCGAGAAGGAAAATACTGTAACTTCTGCAAGTCTACGTTATCTATATTTTTTTAAAACAGCTCGACTGTTTTCTCGCCTCGTTGCATTACTAGTATTTACTCGTTTCCTTAAGTCAAATAATAATAAACGACAGTCATATGATGTTTTGTAGTATAAAATTTAAATCAGTGTCTATTTTATTGTGGGTACAAAAGAAAGGTAAGAAAATGAAAAAAAATAAGAAAAAGAGGCTTGAGTTGTAATCACCTCAAGTTTTTATTTTTATTTTTTATTGCATACATGGGTGGACGAGCTCACAGCCCACCTGGTGTTAAGTGGTCATCGGAGCCCATAGACATCTACAACATAAATGCCGCCACTCACTTTGAGATATGAGTTCTAAGGTCTCAGTATAGTTACAACGGCTGCCCCACCCTTCAAACCGAATCGCATTACTGCTTCACGGCAGATATAGGTGGGGTGGTGCTACCTAGCTGTGCGGAATCACAAGGTCACAACAGGTCCTACCACTAGTAATTACGTAAATTATAATTAATATAATATAATAATTTTTATTACACGATGTTATTCCTTCACCGTGGAAGTCAATCGTGAACACTTGTTAAGTACGTATTTCATTAGAAAAGTTGGTAGCCGCCTGAGATTCGAACGCCGGTGCATTGCTCAACACTAATGCGCCGGACGTTTTATCCTTTAGGCCACTGAAACTTATTTTAAATTTCTGAAGTGTGTTTCATTTTTTTATTCTAGGTTGTCAATTATTAGTGTAGGACGTATTATCTACTACAAAGAGAAAACAATTATATTATAAATTATTCACATTAATTAAGTTCAATTATGTTTAAAAAACACACAAAGTCAATATTTTATAAAACTAAGTTTATACTTCATTACAAACAATGTTTAATAAAATTATGACTCACAGTATTTACTATCTAGTCATTTTTGCCTTGAACCAAGCTTCGTCGTGTTGTACAATTACGCGCAACCATGTTTTTGTTCAATTACATTCAGATAATAACTGTTTCTGACTCTGCCAGTTAACTTGGAAATTTAAGACTCTTTCAACACTTTGTGTTCTATTTTAGTGACTTTATTAATGGATGACTTATCTTGATGAAAGAAATTATTTAATTAATAATATCAACCTACAGTTATTCTAGTCTTGTTGAAGAAAAAAACATTAATACAATTTCATCTAGTCCATCAGTCAGTGACAGCCATTCTAAACCCTCTAACACTAATAAACATGTCAGTGACTGGACAATGAACACGAATGTTAATAATTTTTCAAATAACAGTGCAGCATTTTATAGACTCCTCTTAACCACAAAATTCACCATTCATCTATCAAAAGTGAGTATGATTATGAAATTACAGAATAATAATTAATAGGGGTGGAACTTGAACTTGGTTACATGATATATTAAATGGTGCACATACTTGCAGTCACGTGATATGCAGCTCTAAAACACTTCACTTTGTGTACAATCTCGCTGAGCATCTAATCTTAAGCAGTCATTAGGCTGCCTAAAGAATATTTCTTACCTATTTTACTGAAATAACAGCTATGGCACACAGAAAACCTTGACTGGTGACTTGCCTTACCAGTATACTAGATAGAAATTCAGTACAGTGAGATCATGTGGAAATAACATTAATAATCTGAACAAATCAAGAACACATAACCGTTGCCTTTAATTAAAAAGCTAAACAGTATATTATCTTAATTAAAATATATTCTGGCCTTTGATTAAGATGCTACAAGCTTCATAACTCTCAACAAAGTAAAACAAATAACACCCTGATAAGCATATAGATAATTTGATATCTGCATTATCTTGACACAGTTTTGAGTATCTGAATTAATAAATTCAAAAATATGTTTTTGCTTATGTTTCTACTTTTTTTTATAAACAATCTGTATTTTAAACAACACACTTATAAATTGTGTATATTTCAGGTTTTTCAACCAATCATACTGACAATGCAATAAATTTTAAATAAATAAATAAATGCAAAACTGAAAAAAGGCACTTTTTTTTGGTTATTGACTCATACATCTCAATTAATGATCTTTAAGTCTTGCCAATAAGAGGGAATTGTCTATTATCAATTGGTACTTGTGAAGGTCGAATTCTTATTTTGTTGAGATAGACTTTTAATGTTTATCTAACACACATGAAAATGATTAATTGAATTTACTATTAGTTATAAAATATATATTGAAACAAATTATGTAACCATCCAGTATGATTGATACTACATAGCAGATGTAATATATACCTAATTTATGTGGATTCTTTAAAAAATATATTATACTAACATTTTTACTCCTCCAGCATCTGCAAAGGGATGCCTTCTCAGTTATATCCTCAATGTCAATAAAGTCTACAACTTTATTAATGTCCTTCCTGATACAAGGGTTTATTTGACCACTGCCAGCTTCTCTGGCTTTTTTTATTGTCTGGTAAGAGTAGTAAGATATACCGCCAACTACAACTGTAGGCGGAATCAGTGCTAACCAATCTTTAACTGAAAAGATAAAAAATTATAACAAAATTTACTTTTACTTTCACCTACCTTGAGACATAAATTCAATTACTTTTTTTTAAAGGTATTACAGCTATCTCCAGCTTTACAACAAAACAGGCACCTGACTGCTTCACAACAGAAATAGGTAAAATGAAGGATAAAGTACCTTTATTTGATTTCTATTTATAGGAATAGAGTAATAATAATAGTCATTTCTCATTGTAGTACACAATTATTTTGGCTCGAGTCTTTCTTTTTCGTTACTATTAATTGCAGTTCACTGTCTGCAAGAAATAACTTCAGACTGCCTATGGTAAGTATGGTTATGGTATGCAATTAATTATTAACTATGTATGTCTTTCAATAAAAAATATACACTAATCTCATGACTCGTTCAATGTGATTTCTATTAAAGTTACTCAATGATCTACTACTTTGTTCAGTGTAAAACAGGAGACACGTAGTAAGTTCAAGGATTTTAATGGTAGATTAATGTTGACGTACTCTCCTTTCTTATTTAGTTAAATAAACGGATCTATTTAATACAGTTACAATTAAAATACATTCACAAGGTTACAACGTATTTTACCTCCAAGACGAAACCATCCGCCAACAGAATCTGGAATTGGCAAGCTCGACAGATAGTTGGGAATGGTTACTTTAACTAAATTAGAAACCACGTACATTTTTAAGCTTTTAGCAAAACAGACTAAAAAGTGTAACTAAGCTCGTCTATTAAGATTACAGTTCTACAATAATAAGTGTAGGTACTTTAAGGGATTTTATGACCTGGTAACGGAGACTTTTAAGTCATGTCTTATTTTAATTTATATTCATATTCTTATGAAAAATGATGTTATGGAGTGAAATGAAATGAAGATGATTAATTTGAGACATTAATCAACTAAGATGAAATTAAATGAAATGAAATGAGCTGATACGGGATGAAATATAATCTCAGTAAAATGGTGGTCATTTACTAAGATTTTTTCAGCGGACTTTTTGGAGGATGCCGAGAAGTTACGTCCAGCGGCTTTATTTCATTTTCCCACGTTTGTGCACTTTCACAGATATTAAACAGTTAATAAACCACCATTATTACACATTTAAACCCGAAGAAACACTAAATAGACAAAATAAAACAAATCACACAACTTCACTCCTCGCGTTCCCGCCAAAAAGTCCTTTGTAGGTACTTTAAGATTACACCGGTCACTCACATGCGCACGAATACGCAAACCCACAAGTGTAGAACGACATTTGCGAATGATTATGCAAAGTTTTCGCTGCATTCGTTGTTTTCCATGCTGTGTTGGTTTTTTAACAGACATCAAAGCGCGCGAACCTCGAACCTTCGCGTAGTCTCCACACATTCGCTTGCCCAGTTGCGCCGACGATTGCGAAGGTAACGGACGTATACTATACGCCATTTTCATAGTTCGTGACGTCTACTGTGTAGCGTATCTTCATCAAAAGAAATCCCATAAAAACAGCATGGCTGTTAATGATGTCTGGGAAAGAATTAAAAACTCTTTTTCTCTTCAATGTTCTATTGACGAATTAAAAAGGAGGAGAAATTCGTGAGACATTCGTAAACAAGTGTAGGAGAAAGCGCAAACGGGTTCGCAAATTGAGTATGCGAACCCATTTGCACAGCCGCTAGGTTTGCGAATGAATGTTTGACGGCCCTTCACATGCGCGCAAACATTCGTACAATATACGAATATTTGCGCGCATGTCAGTGGCCGGCATTACAGTCATATATTATACACTTAATATATTTGAGATTACAGCGAAATTAGGGATACTTATTTTTACGGCTCAGTGAATTTGGCCTCCTTTTTTTTGATTTTCGGATTTTTGTTATTTTTAATTATTTGTTCGTCGTTTGCTCGTTAATATTCGAATGTAAAAATTGTTTGTTTGTCTTTTATTTATTTATAATTAATTAAACAAAGGATCACCGTTAAGTGGATCCCCTTACTAGATATCTTTATTTTTATCGCTCAGATTAATTAATTTTGATCAATTATCGTTTGTTCGATGACTATTGGTGATTAATCGATCATATAAACAATTAAATTCCCAATTATTAATTATTTTATATCTAATAAGCAAACCATCACCTCACGCCTACATTGCGCATGCGCCGGTTTTGTCAGTCAGCTGGCAATGGCCGTATTCTAGCGTTTTGTTAACAAGTGCGTTTATACTGTCTAATTATTTCCTATGTAGATCAAAAAAATATTGAAAACTTCAACAAACTTCAACAATACTTCAACAAAAAAATGTCTGTCAAGACGGCCGATTAGTCGATAAGTACGATTAGCGCGGTTTAATAAATTCAGTTATTTTTAATGATATTGAATATTAACAAGCATATAGAAATTTCAGTGATTTCTAATTATTCTAAGAATATTTTAGGAGTACAACTTTCGTGTTAAAATGATACTATTCATTACCATGAAGTAGGAGATAGATATGATACTTGTATTTTATAATAAAATTAATAATTCCTAAATTCATTACGTAGTTCAAAAAATGTAAATGTAAGGTACACAAAATATGTTTTTGTTGAAATGATAATTATTTATAAGGTCAAGAAATATATTACAGGAAAATCAAAAAAAGGTGGCACGAGGTGATGGTTTGCTCATTACATATAAAATAATTAATAATTGGGAATTTAATTGTTTTTATGATCGAACAATCACCAATAGTCGTCGAACAAACAATAATTGATCAAAATTAGTTAATCTGAGCGATAAAAATAAAGATATCTAGTAAGGGAAGCTAACTTAAGGGTGATCATTTGTTTAATTAATTATTAAATAAATAAATGCAACATAGCCACAGAACACGGCTTCTTGCATATTACAAAAAACCATAGAGTTAGTTGTAGGTACTTATTAACTCCATGCAAAAAACACAATGTGGTCTCTGTAACAAACACCACTTCATGTGTTCTGGTATCAAAGTTAAATGTTCCTAGATTAACTAAAAGGCCAGGTTACCAAATGGCAGGAACATAATTTTTTTGTTGGTTAAAACGGTAACAAATAATTCTTACTCTGAAGTAGTATGAGAAAGTACCTTATATAATAGTAACATAGTAGAAATTAGGTACTTACTAGTCTACCTTTGGTCATACCACTGATTGTGTTAAATAGTTTGACTTCGGACAGCTAGCTGAGAAAATCTTACTTCCCTTATTCTTTACGTGTCATCGAAAATTTTGGTATGATCTCAAATAAACTAAAGAGGCTAATCCCTAATTTACAATTTCATCCTGTATTCTGACCGGACATTTTGTTAACTTGGTAAATAATCAGCAGACCTGAACTATTTAAATTAAAACATTCGTCACTTCTCGAAAAATAGATTGATTTGGTCATTGCAACGCTCTTTAATTTTTATTGATTACGTTTATTCATAGATAAATAAAGTTTGTATCAGTTTACTAAAAAATCATAGAATTATCATAGACTAAGTTGAATTCAGTGTGTATTGGAAATTTACATGCTTTTTATCAAAACCAATGTATTTGAACTTAATTGCCGATATATTACTAACACTAGTACAAAAGTGCAATGATGAGGGAATGTAATTAATTGTTGCATTTAAATTGTTGATCCACAAGTTATTGCACAAAAATATTTTTGTTAGTAAATACATACTCGATACGTTTTGAAATAATCTAAAAAATGTAAATAAAATTACCTAAAAAGTCTTGGAGCTACAGACCGTACAAAAATTATTAAAAAAAGCAAGTTCACCAAGTTTCTAGTTTATTGATGTGTATAATCTATGACTAAGTTGCGTCTGCTTACTCTGGTAGGGTGGGTGCGTTTGATTTACGATTATTGCAATGGAAATTATTTATTTATTATTAATTAATTAACTTGTCACAGTTCCTCATGTATAATTCTACAAAGTGTTACAGTGAAATCCTTTTTTGGATGCCAATCAATGCCCTTTGGTTCTGAATATGGCTGACGAAAGACTTGTGGTTCTAAATCGTAGTGACAATTTGGGATTCGGGTTTTCTTTGCTTGGTGAAGCCGGTTTGCCACATGTTATATACGAAATAGAAGAAAATTCACCGGCTGCTCGCAGCGGAGAAGTAAGTATGCATTCCATATTGTGGATAAGCCAAACAAAAATCATTCACTACCTACGTTCACGTATTGATATGACATTCAAATACATTAACAATAGTACATAAATTAACAAAATGTAAACTGACTTAATTAACGATATTACTCTTCTCTTTATAACGTCTTGAAAATTTCAATTAAATTTCAATTTTGATAAAAATAATGTTATGTACAGAAAAAACAGGCTTACTAGATAGTCTTCAAAGTTATAATTTAATTAAGTTGACGAAATTGTTTTAAAAATGGTATTTATGCAATTAAAAGCCACCAAAATAAATCAATCACTGAAGGCAAAGTAACCGTGATTCAATAAATGAAACCGAAAAAAACAATATCATTCAAATGGAACATCAAAACAGTTCAAAACAAACTTTATAGTAGTTAAGAATTTTTTTGCTCATAACGAATATACACTAACTGCAATTCTTAAATAATCCAAAAAGAACTTTCAGAAATGTAGCATCTAATTTATAATTTAATGCCAAAATAAAGAAAAATAATTGTTGTTACTATTTTGAAGTATTTCAGTATTATTTTATTAAGAGCTAGTATTGAATTTTAAGAATGAATTTTTTTTTAAGACTGACGAATTTCTAACTTAACATACAGACTAAAAATTAATACAATAAGATAACTAAGTCTGTTTGATTTTTTCAAAATTTTATTATTTTCCCAGGCACAGAAGCTAAGATGTTTTATTCAAATTTTTCACTCTCAAGTTAATTGTTGTTCAATAATTCAAAATATAACTATTTTGATTCATATTAGTTTATTTGGATACAGAGTGATGATAATAATGTTTCCATTAATAACAGACATGGGTACCTCTTTCAAGTACTTAAAAGAACTATGGCTTTGTCAATTATATATAGTTGTATTAGCCTTACTTTGTTTATCTATAGAAGTGCCTTTAGCTCCTTCAAGATTCATATTATTAGTACAGCTGTACCTATTGTGAGTCCCTACAGAATATAACACCAGCCTAGTTTTCCTGTAATGCAATTGGGAATTTTTTTTTTTTTTTTTTATTGCCCTTTTTTTTTTTATTGTTTACCAAATTTTTTACTTTTTCAAGGGCTGTATAGTGATGTCTTTTTATTAACATTTTTTGCACTACATAGCCCACCTGTTGTTAAGTGATTCATTTTGAATGTATGTATGTATTTGCACAGACTAGTTAATTCAGCTCAAGTTACTATGACTGAACATCATTGATATGTACCTACATTTCTTAACAATCAACTTCCCAAACACCTATAGACACCATCAAGTGAAAAATGAAAATAAAACCTCTCTACAAGAGACTCATAATGTGTTTTATACACTCCTTAATCATCTGTGACCATGGAAACAGAAATGTCAGAAATCATAAATTAATAATAATAATGAAGATTAAACTTTAGTAGGACCTATTATTCTTTAATACAAAAAACTACATGCTTATTGCTAGAGCAATTCCAAAGTAGAATGTTTTTGAATTCCTTAGTGAACTTTAATATAAAAATTCAGGAAGATCGAAATTTTCTCAAATTAATTTTTCATAATTGTACATGGGAAATTAAAGCTTATTATAAATTCCATAAAATATTAGATATCAAGATTATTTAGCCTATATTATTTATATTTCAAACTGTTGAGATTATCCTTAAATTTTTTAAATATTGTTTCCCAGCTGTTAAAACTATTACATGTATTATATGCCTTAAATGTCAGGTGAGGAATTTAGACAACCAGGAAAAACTGAACTGAAACAAAATATTAAAGTGGACATTGATGGTAACAAATGATGTTGTAAACTGAAATCTTTCCATGGCTAATTACCAGCTCATGAGCCCAACACAAACTGCTTACTTTGCAGGTACTATACTATATATACAGCAGTATATAGGAGTATTGCGAGTATTGAGTGTTTGTTGCGGATTTAAATGGCCATCATCCAGAGATGTTGTCAAAATCACCCGACTTCCAGATTAGGCAACCTTTACTTTCGTTTTGTCATATAGTGTATCTTACCAGGCCACAGAGCGCACCTGTGTCCCAGATAACCGTCAAGGCGATCATGTCTAGGTATCCATATATCCATATAATGAAATAAATTTGCTTAACCCACACTTAATTAGATGCCTCTCAAATAGCGGCAATTAAGTGCATTTTGTATATACCTTAAATGAAAATTGAACATATGGTGGCAGAAGTGTTATTCTTGCAATACTTCTGTTTTTGGCAACATGTTTCTTGCTTTTATAGTGACAGTAAATCATTAAATATCACAACACAACCTTGACATAGTACAGTCCAAAAACAAGAAAAGAATGAAATGTTAATGGTGCAGAAGAACATTTAACACATTGAACACCTTATGAAAAATCTAGTATTTTCATTTAGGCTATGAGAATCGCCTGTGAGCCTTTTAAAATATTTAAACTAGACCGTAAAAGTCGTTATTTTTTATCTTCCGTGCAAATTATTGTATTTTATAAATTTTAGAATCAAAATCTCAAGTTGATAAAAATTGCTAATTGCCTGATTTTAGCTTGACCTGAATTTTATAGTATGCTATGCTCACTGGTGGGTGGGTAAAGCATACAACATGTTAAATACACATTTAACATTACTTATCAATACTAATTATTTATTTATACATATCTATATATTTTTTACTGGTGGTAGGACCTCTTGTGAGTGCACGCAGGTAGGTACCACCACCCTGCCTATTTCTGCAGTGAAGCAGTAATGCGTTTCGGTTTGAAGGGTGAGGCAGCCGTTGTAACTATACTTGAGACCTTAGAACTTAAATCTCAAGGTGGGTGGCGCATTTACGTTGTGGATGTCTATGGGCTCCAGTAACCACTTGACACCAGGTGGGCTGTCAGCTCGTCCACCCATCTAAGCAATAAAAAAAATTATGCAAATCTGTCAATTTCAAAGTAAGAAGCACAATATTATATAACTACTTTTAGATAGAAAGAAATTTTACCCTGAGAGGGTGAATTAGCGGTTTAAAGTTTAAATGAGAAATTGCGTACAAGCATGAAATTCAATATTAAAGCCCAATAAATAACGTCTAGGAAAAAATTCCTATAGTAAATATATAATTAATATAATATACCATCAACACAATATTTAGATTAACCCATGCGAAATCAGGACAGGTCGCTATCAAAACATTTGCTTGAAATTAATACTTAATATTTGTTTATTAACAGACATTACAGTTTAATTCAGTCAGCGTACCTATTCTAGGTATTTTTTAAAAATAGTATTCACAAATTACCGTAGAGCTGTTTCTTAACTGGAAATAATATTATTAATGTTGTAATCGCTCATCGCCGCCAAAATGACGCGCACAAGAAGTCGGACGTCTCCACGCCCGATTGAATTTAAACCATTCGCAAATTACACGAAGGCCCATTAAGATAGTTTACAATATGAAACTAGTAAATTCATAGTAATATGCACCGAGATGTTCGAATCTCAGGCGGGTACCAATTTTTCTAATGAAATACGTACTCGACAAATGTTCACGATTCACTTCCATGGTGAAGGAATAACATCGTGTAATAAAAATGAAACCCGCAAAATTATAATTTGCCTATTTACTGGTGGTAGGACCTCTTGTGAGTCCGCGCGGGTGAGTACCACCGCCCTGCCCATTTCTGCCGTGAAGCAGTAATGCGTTTCGGTTTGAAGGGTGGGGGCAGCCGTTGTAACTATACTGAGACCTTAGAACTTATATCTCAAGGTGGGTGGCGCATTTACGTTGTGGATGTCTATGGGCTCCAGTAACCACTTAACACCAGGTGGGCTGTGAGCTCGTCCAGCCATCTAAGCAATAAAAAAAATAAAAAATCATAGTAATACTTGATATCTCAAGTCGCGTTATTGTACAAATCTCGAGACCTTCATAAACAGCAATTACCCTGATCTCGGTACACACTTTTACAATTTTAACTACAAATTGCGTTATAAACTGCGTTATCAAGTTCCATTAAAGTAATTCTCGTATAATGCTGAGTTGATTTCATTTCGGATGAATCAGTTAAGATGTACGTACAGTTTACGTGTAGATATTGATTATATTAGAACGAAGTCGTTGCTGTTTTAATTTTCGTTGGTATGTGAGTAAAACTGAGTCATGCTGTTATCGTGTACGTGAACAGGGGTCGTCGCGAAGTAAGAACAACAGTAAGTGCTTTTGTTTAAAGAATTCGCCATATCTTTCGAAGTATCGAAGTAAGCTCGTATTTGGTTCGAATGTTAGTGTTAGCCGACCATGATTTCTAACAATCAATCGACCGTGGATATCGTTCGCTGTGTATTCTGAGCGAATGAACACTTTAGTTCACCTATTGTATTTGTTAATCCATTTTCTTCGTCAAATCACATACATACACAGGCCGGGATCCATACCATATAGTTGTATTGATATACCATTTTTACTAATGCTAGGGCATGTTTGTACCCTAACCTTTAGGGCATGTTTGTGCCCTGCCCTTTAGGGCATGTTTGTAGTGTTACACTAAGCAGTCGGGATTACTGGTTGGAAATATAGATTTATATGCGCTGCACTTAAAATTCGATTTCACATCTCTTTATGTGATCTAATGTACTATTGTAAACATGCCTAGTCTTCTCAATTTACATTATATTAGTAACTTCTTCAATTTGTATCGGTTTTATTAAAAACCCGCCAACTTAAATATTTTCATAAGTTTTCACTTCCTGTCATTAATTATCTATGTTTAAACCCGATCCTGTACGTAACATATTACCGTTGAATTTAATGTAACTTTTACTAATATGTATATTAGATATATCTACTAATTATAGATTAACAAGAAATAAAAACTATAATATAATAATATAAAAAATATAATAACTAAAAATAATATTAAAAAAAAAAACTAAAAATTATAGTTTAGATACATACTACTAATATAATTACTTTAATAGATCATTAGTAAAT